AAAAACACATTGCCAGTCAGGCAGACAGAGCTGTGTAACCCTGGAATGACAACTGACAACAGAGTGCTGCTAGCAGGCAAAGGATTGCAGAGAAATAACAAATGGCATGCAAAAGGAAGGAGCAAGAGGAGACAGGGTTATCTCATCCTAGAAAAAAATAAACCTGTTTAAATTTTAAAAGGTGCTGCTAGGTTATTTCTTAAGGCCTGAGGAGTTGAAGTGTCTGTAAAAGAGCACAGTTAGCAGGACCCAAGTTACCAGCTCTTGAGCAAAAGGTTGAAACATCTCCCGCTGCCTGAACCTGTGTGCAAGGGTTTGTCATTTACACCTTCCACAGGTAGGAGGCAGGGAGCCCTTGACAGCTGCAAACACACACCTCTCTGATAAACAGATTTTGCTCCAGCAAGGGTCACCATTTTTATTTGCAAAGCTGAATCTCAGTGCCATCTGGGCTTTGTATGACTGAGCAGAGCAGATGCTAAATAGGTGATGGGTAACACACAAGCTTATGCTGTTTTCTACTGTTTAGTACAGTTTGTCCCCTTCTCTCCTGGCTGTTTGTCCAGCCAAAAAAAATGCAGTAACCATGCAAAAATCATAGTCATGTTCTTATCAACTTGTGCTGGCTAAGGTAAAGTCAGTTGAGCTGGTGTAATGTCAGCCTTAGCATGGACTGTGGCACAGACAGGACTTTCCCTAAAATACAACTCAGGATCAATCACTCAAGCTGATACTAAACTAAGCATCTGAGGTTGGTGACTTTCACCAGAGAACATAAACACACAGTAACACATGTTACCTTCTGCTGAGATTTACTTCCATTTGTATTGAGAAGTTTTAGCATGCCTGTTGTCAAGATGAAAATGCTGGACAGGCTAATCAAGGTGCAGTCTAATTATGATAAATCTAGGTGTGGTTTTTTTTTCCCTTTCTCATTCTTCTGCTATCAGAACAAGCCACGTGAAGACAGGCAAAAAAGTTACATCACCTTAGTGATCCACAAATGTTATGCCTTACAATCTGCCCAAAACAAATACTGTATCATGTAGGGTTGGAGAGTGGGAGGTAAGAAGGGAAGCACTGTGCTCCCAGTTTGCTGCTGCCTGGTCTGCCTGGTCCCAGAGGCTCGGTCTCACAGTTCACACAGTGCACGAGGAAAGGAGTGTGCGGCACGTGTGGCCAGAGCCTCCAGACGTCCTGCAGCTGGGTCAGTGCTGAAGAACTGCCTGCAAGAAAAGGGGCTGGGAGGCAGAAATGTCACACAGGGCTGTGCAGGGTCTGGAATAAACACTTGGCTCAGTCACAGACTCTTTTGCAACTACAGGCAATCCACACAGTTCATGTTTTCTTCTGGAACTGGAGGGAGCCATACCTGCCCTGATCTTTGTAAGCTGTACGCTTGCAAGGGCTGCCCTTGGATCTGGACTTGTACAGCACCCAGTCCAGCAGCAATTGGCAGTACGCTCAGTATCAGCTGAGCACAACTTCACAGCAAAAATAACAATCAAGGAGCAATGTTCTTCCACTAGCGGAATAGCTTGGAGAATTTTTTAAAAAAGCTACAATTTTATAACAAAAACCCAAGTGACAAACTCTTCGGAGGTGACAATATGTAGGATAATTAGCAATGGGAGGATAGTAGAATTTCTGAGTATTATTATATGTCATTAACAACTTTCAGATCTCATTGAGAGTGCTTTGTTGCACCTTGGTTTGTAGCGATGAGTTAAGCTTTCTTATGACACTTTTTATGAGCATCTAAGGATGTTCACTGAGTTCCAGTAAGTCAGTAAAAGTCAAAGTGCTCAAAACCTCTATTTTGAACACCCTGAACAGTGTCCATCAAAGGAAACATCCTGAAAACATTCCTTTCAAGGCACATGTTGAACACTATCATCTAGAAATGTCAGTTTTACACTCATTTAAATAATGTGACAGCTTCCAAGAAGACACCTGATAAGCATCACATTCAAGTGTCAAGAAGCACAGAGAAAGAGTGCCAAAAAAAGTTCAATCTGAAGAAATCGTATCAGCTATTAGATGAGTATTATAATACAGTTACTACTAAAAAAGATTCCTCATTTAAATGGAAAATAAACTTTACACTCAAGAATATATTTTTTTTTAAAAAGACCTTACATTGTCCCTATACCACCTCCCATGTTTCTCTATAGTGAGATCTCCCAGCTCACTGAATCCAGAAGGCAGAGACATACATGGCGAACAGCAAAACACACTGGTATTGGGTGAGCACCTCAAGACGACTGTAACTGAGCCATTGGAGACGCTACTTCTGTTTGGTTGGGGTTTTTTGGTGGGTTGGTTTTGGGTGGGTTTGGTTTTTTGTGGCTGTGAGCCACTGGGAATTATGAGAATTCAGTGTCTTCAGATTAAACATATAATGTTTGCTGTTGGGTATCTAAAAGCTGAATCTCTAAATGAGAAGATTCTTGAAAAAATCCTGGCCCTGATTTGCATATGCTTCAGTTATTTCATTGCACCAAATACTATGTGTGCTTTATATATGGGCTTGAGGCTTACTGTGTGTTTGTGATATGCTTTGAGATGCTCTGATGGGAGGTGTTGCCTAAATAAAAGTAATGTGATGCTTAAGTGTCTAGAATTCCCAGTGGACATTTCCACTCAAGCCCTGCTGCTATCACACATCAAAAACATTTGGAATCCTTAATGGACATATGTTCATAGCACAATGCCACCAATTTGGCATATTTAGTGCCTTCTCAAGAGATGCCCACAGTTTGTATATCAAGATTGTGGGAGGTTAGGACTGCAGTGTGAGAAAAATTTGCACAACACCTGCCTGACTATAATTTAATTGGCAGAAACTAATGCTCCGAGTTTGGGGATTTTTTTCCTCCGCTCAAAATTGAAGACACGCTAGGACTAATCCTGCTGTCTTACACTGTCAATTTTAAGCTTTTATTCTGACTTTACTTGTGCTGCAATATGATAATTTTCTGGTCCACTCTTTTGTTTCTGACAACTGAAGCATTGCTGTTTTACTCTCAGTAATTTCTGTGTATAATGGCTTCTCTGGCCAGCAGAGAGGACTCACTGTTTTTGGACTTCACTGAAAAAGGAGTCTGCTTACTATTACTGAAGATTATGTCCCATTTTATTTTTAATGAAGTACTTAATTATATGTTTTAAAACAAAAACTGTTGATGAAGTATTTCTGATCAAGTCCACCAGCAACACAGTGTGTGGACTCCAAAGATAAACACCACCACTGTCACTATTAAATTGTCTTTGATTTTACCTTTTCTTACAGCAGAGCCCCATCTGCAGCAGTCTTTAGCACCTCTTATCCTACCAGATTTTTGTTTTCTTTTTCAGGAATGTTTGACCTTGCAGTACGTCAAGGATAGCCCCTCTTACTTCACTATTTTCTTCACGTTTACAAAACATAATAAAAAGCTTTGCAGGAGAGATAGAGGATACAGTCCCAGGGGAAGCGTTCCTGCAGTGTGAGATTCAGCTCCGTGCAGGCCAGGAAGGCAAGCTGCAATCCTGATCCGTGCTGCTCTGCCAGATCTGGCTGTTCAGGGCTTGCAAATTACCGCTGGCTGCCTCAGCGAAAGCCTTGCTGGAAACATCTCATTGACTGCACCAACCTGAGTGGATGGCAGGTTATGAACATCCTTTATATAGGCGACTCACATCAGTTTTGTTGCTTTAAAGAACTCCCTGAAACTTAGCTGGAATTCCTAGATTTCCTTTTCTGCAAACTGCCGCTGTAAAAAGAGACAGGTTGACATGAAAGCATCACCTTGTCCAGGCCCCAGATGCTTGCTGGGACTGGGTGTGAGTAGAGTGAGATGAAATGGCAGCAGGGTTATTTCTAGAGTTATGTCTGAAATACTTCAATCTTCACACACCCAGACTGCATGGACAAATGGACCTTCCTTTATGAGCATGGTGGTCTAAAATGGAGAAGGTGAAAAGCTGAAAGACAGACAAGCAGGCAGGAACAGTTAGAGGCAAGACCTCAAGTGTCTGAGGTCACGCTCTTACCCTCAGAATTATAAGAGTAGTAGTGGCTGTTGGTATCACATACTGCCACAACAGATACAGATATGTACACGTGTCTGTATATGTACATACGCATACAGTTCACACATATAACAAAGTGTGCAGCCACATTCCTGAGCAGTTTTGTGCCTTTCCTTTGAGTAGTACTTTAAGGATGGGTTAATATTTTATGACGGCCATAGGACTCCCAGTACAATAAAACATAGCGTTTGAAGGATGAGATTAATTACTGAGACAGTTGCTCATCTGCCTCTTCTGAGCTTGTAGCAATAGAAAATAAATGTTCAGTTTGCAAGAGCCTAAAGCAAGCCATAAGCAAAAACTTTCTCTCCTGCACTGAAGGAAACCCAACATTTAGATTTACATTGCTTGTTTTTTCAGAATTGCATGGACAAAAATAAGGCCTGCAGGCAGGCGTACGTAGAAGTTATTCAGGCTTGTCAGTGCTCACTGTTGAACTTTGTTCCCTGATCAAGCAATGTTCCCAAGGTGAGTAAACACACCTTGGACGAGCCTCCACTTCACAGCCAACTAGCGAGCATCAGCCTACCAAATGTGACAACTCTGCTTTGCCTGAACAACCCCCGTGCTCCCAGTTCCAGATACTCTTTGTACTCAACCTTACCCACACACCGAAAAGTTACGACGCTTTTGGTTTCAAAGCCAAATTGGATCAAAGTTTGGTTAAACTGCTACATTTTGTAACTGCTTCAAAACAGCAAACCCAGGGGCTAAGAGTCACCACTTTCAGCATTCATTAATCAAACCTGTTAAATGATTACCTTGTTAGGGCTGCTTTATTGACAGCTCTGCATGATGATAATGCCAGTGGCACTGTCCCAACACACATCCAGTGGTGACGTAAAGGACAAGCCTCCATCACCTCACCTAGTGGGATGGACACTACCACAAAGAATATTTAAGGAAGAAGGATGCTTCCTTGGAAAGCAGTGATCGCAAGAGTACTCCAAAGCAATTGAAACGGGATCAGCAGAAAGAGACAGAAGAATCCTCTCTGACATCCAACTCAATCTTCTAAAGACAGTAAGTAGAATAGCCTCTATTTTTTCCAGCGTGAAATTACCAGTGATCCAAGTTCTCTATATTGATTTTAAAGCTGAAGTACATGTCTACTACAAATTCTGCCTTTCGGTTATACGTTATTAGGAAGGCTTATTGATGCTGGTTAGAATGTCATAGTATGCTAACACACACAATATATCTGATTTTAGATTGTCAGCAGTATTTCAAAGCCATCAACAAGATCCACTACAGGTTCAATAATGCCCCCACAGTTGAAAGCCGAGGTAAACGTCATGCCCAAGGTTGTCCAGGGGGATTTGCAGAGCCTGCCTCCAGAAGCAAGGGATTTCATTGAAAGTAATGCAAAGCTGTGCCAGCCTGAGAGCATTCATATCTGTGATGGCTCCGAAGAAGAAAACAAAAAAATTCTGGACATCATGGTAGAACAAGGCATGATCAAGAAGCTGAGCAAGTATGAGAACTGGTGAGTAGCCTGAAGGAAGTCAAGTGTGAACTCTGAATTGCAATATGCGTTTTCTATCCTGTTTACTTTTAAAACTGCTTATAACCCTTCAATATTAGCTTTCCAGGACCATTTTGGCACTATAGCTTACATAGGTGAAATACTCAGGAAAAGCATACTTTTTCCTCTAAAAATTAACATAAAGCATATAATTGAATTGGACTATCAACTGTACATTGTCTCTATTGATTAGTTATTTCAGGGAACTGAAATAATATCATGACTTATGTAACTAATCATTAGGAATGGCTAAATATTATTTAGCAAATACATCTTTTGAAGAATTCTACTATTTTAGTCAATTAGTTTATTCATCAAATACTTTTTTGTGATGTTCAAATAGCTCTGTGGGTGTTCAAATATTATTCAGTACAGGCATTTTTCATATCATGCCAATGAGCTTTGACTGTAATGTATTCAGCAAATACTTTTTTCAAATATTTCATCATTTCTCCCAACTAACCCAACATGAAAGGAGAATATTAACAAGGACATAGTCAGGAATCAACTATATAGTCATCTTCATGGAAGAAATCCGCAAAGACTTTTGAATAACTGAGTGCAGGAATTTGGCAATCTGTTTGCAGACTATTTGGGAGAGAAAAGGGCAAAATTCACCAGATAAATTATTCATTGTTAATTATATGCTTAGCTGTAGTGATGATGGTTATGACAGCCTAACTAGAACATTTTTATACTCGTGGAAAATTTCTATGCACAGAGGTGAAAATGTAAAACAATCCTCTCTATTGTAAATAGATTGCAAAAATTCTTTAGAGGGGAAAAAGAATCTCCTTTTAATAAACTCCTTCACTTTTTATGATCATGCTTATACTCAGTATTTCTTTTGTGATGCCTCTAACTTAAAGGACTCTGCCAATCCACTCAGCTGGATTCTGATCCCACAGGCATTTATACCAACGCTTGAAGTACTTGCTTGGCATCCACTTTGCTTGAGGCATCATTTTGTAGTCCCCATGCAAAACAACTTCACACTGATGAGAATTAAACAAGATTAACTTTTCCCTGGAAGTTAGCAACAGAGACTGAGATAAGATGCAAAGGACTATTAACGTGTAACCAGAATTTTCTAGGCCATATAATTTGTTATTCATACTGGAGAGTCTTGAAACAATTTGTGTGAGAGAATGTATCTGACTGATTTTTGAGATTGATTGTTGTTCTGGCTCTGTCACTGTAGTTTTAGCCTTACAAAGCATTGTACCCTTTTGTGCTAAACCAGTCACATAGAAGGGTAAAAAGTTCTATATTGATAATTAGAGTCTAATATTCTGATTTTTGGTGAAATGCAGCTGGTTGGCACTCACTGACCCAAGAGATGTGGCAAGAATTGAGAGCAAAACTGTCATCATCACTCAAGAACAGAGAGATACCACTCCAATCCCTAAAACTGGAACTAGTCAGCTAGGTCGTTGGATGTCTGAAGAAGATTTTGAGAAAGCCTTCAATACCAGGTTCCCAGGCTGCATGCAAGGTAGGCAAGAAAAGGATAGTTGACATTTGAAGTTCTAGGATTACAGACACACTACCGCTAGTAGTTACTGTAATCTTTAAAGAAAGATTTAGCTGAAAGTTTAGGTTTATACCCCTGATATTAGTAATTTTTTTGGTTCCATCTGTTTTTTTGGTTCCATCCATTTTTTTGAATCCAAATGCCTGTGCAAGGATAGTCCTCAGTCTCTTTCCATCATTATTCTCTTCACAAAGAGAGGCAAAGTAAAGTAGGAAAATTTGGGTGATAGTTTTTCAGGAAGTCACACAGCAACTAAGCAGCCAATAGGAAGTGAGGTGAGAATGGAGGACACCCATCCCCACCAATAATTTCAGGTTCGGCGATTTACACCAACAGAGAACTTGGCCTCCACCCACCTTTACTACTGGCTAGACAATTTGTCAGAACAGCTGCTTTCAGCATTTAAGATAAAATTTCTTGCTACGCAATTAGACAAAGCTACAGCTCTTTAAACATTATCAGAAACACCCACAAGACAAACAGCTTTTAAACAAGTGAGAAACAACTTCCATGTTAATGATGTTATTTCAGAAGTTCCTTGTTTTGCTCTTTGTCACATCTTGCTACTCCCTGTTTTCCAGGACGTACAATGTATGTCATCCCCTTCAGCATGGGGCCTATTGAGTCTCCTTTGTCCAAGATTGGTATTGAGCTGACAGATTCACCGTATGTAGTGGCCAGCATGAGGATCATGACACGGATGGGAACAGCTGCTTTGAAAGCCCTGAACAACAGGGATTTTGTAAAATGCCTTCACTCGGTTGGATGTCCTCTACCTCTAAAAGGTAAGACATTAAAAATTGTCACCCCTGGAAATTCCCAGGGGCATGTTTTAGAGCTGACTGTGTGTTCTTGGCACATGGGAGACACTCACCATAGAAGACCAGGGTGGTTTGTGCAACAGCACTAGATTGAGAACTCAAAGTAATTAAAGCTCAATGAGAGTTTCATGGAAAGGAGTTTGTTATCCCTGGTACTACTGGGGGGTGTTTCCTTTAAAGCATCTGGTATGGGTCACTGTCAGAGGCTCAATGCTGATGAAACAGCAGTGTCATCCAGCATGGAAATTGCAGCATTCATGAGTCCAACATTCTGTTCTGCAGAACCATTAATCAACAACTGGCCATGCAACCCGGAGTTAACGCTGATTGCCCATCTCCCGGATCGCAGAGAGATCATTTCATTTGGCAGTGGTTATGGGGGAAACTCCTTACTGGGGAAAAAATGCTTTGCTCTCAGAATTGCCAGCAGAATTGCCAAAGAGGAGGGCTGGCTAGCTGAGCACATGCTGGTAAGAGCTATTAAATCACGTATGTTTTAACAGCCATTAAACCTGAATTAGCTCAACGTAAATACATTACATCTTGCTGTCAATGAAATTACTCTCATACGGATTGTCCTGTAATATTAGATATGAATTTATCATATGGCAGGCTTATGAGAAATAGGAAATTGCTTGCAAGGTTAAGTACCAAACATTTTAAAATAGTACCTGTAAAATCAGAAACCAAGAAAGATTTGGAACTTCTGACAGTGGCTACTTGTAGGCAGACCCACGTAGTTGAGCAGAGCCTAAACTTCATCACTGGCAATCCACATTGCCCCTGCAAGTCTAATAGAGAAAGATTAATGCAAGTTTTGAAAATTGTCTTTCATATTATAAAGAGGTCTATGCACTCAAAAATTGGCAAATATTAGATTTTCTAAGTGAATTCTGCTTTGTACCCTTCTTGCATTTACTTTCTGCTGTCATTTAAATATTCTACCACTATAAATACCACTGAAAAAAAGAATTTCAAAATGCATAAAAGAACAGCCTCAGAAAAAAATATCTTTGCACTCTGAGAAGTGAAGAAGTATCCATACATAAAGTGCTTTCACTTCACTCCAGTCATGCAGCCAAAAGAATATTGCCTGGTTTTCTTCTGTCTCAGCTGAGAAACACAGCTGTATACAGTTTGTGTATCTTTAATCAGCAAAATAAAAATAAATGTTTGAATTCTATACATACCTGACATTTAAAAAAAAAAAAAAAAAGAGATAAAAGTCCCTATAGATATTCTGAGGGCAAGAAGAGTAGACTTTTTGATTAATAAAGTACAGTTTGAATTATTTGTCAACTATATTATGTGGTGCTTCTTCTGTAGGAACAAATTTGCATAATTAAATATTTTATCATTACCACTTGCTGGGAGACAATCTTCCAAATGAAAGGTGCAAGAAAAAAAGACTGTGTTTAACAGTTGCATTAATTTTTCAATAGATCCTGGGCATTACCAATCCAGAAGGTGAAAAGAAGTATTTTGCTGCAGCATTCCCTAGTGCATGCGGAAAAACTAACCTGGCCATGATGAACCCAAGCCTGCCAGGATGGAAAATTGAGTGTGTGGGTGATGATATCGCCTGGATGAAATTTGATGAACAAGGTATGGAACTGAAATTGGATTGTTTTACAGTCCAGTCCAGGTTACTCTTAGGTGCAGCAAGACATGCTACAAAATTCTGGATAGAATTAAAATAGTTTGATTTACTTATATTTTGACATGTAACTTCCAGGCAACTTAAGGGCAATCAATCCAGAAAATGGCTTTTTTGGTGTCGCCCCTGGAACATCAGTCAAAACAAACCCCAATGCTATTAAAACCATATTCAAGAACACCATCTTTACCAATGTAGCGGAAACCAGTGATGGAGGTGTCTATTGGGAAGGCATTGATGAGCCATTAACACCAGGAGTAACACTGACTTCATGGAAGAACAAGACTTGGACCCCAGATAAAGGTAACCTCGCCCACTCCACAGTCTCTCTTGTCTTTTTCTGCTGAATTCAAGTCAATTATGCCATTATGACCTTCTCATTGTATTCTGTACAGGGGAACCTTGTGCTCATCCCAACTCAAGATTCTGCACTCCGGCCAGTCAGTGCCCAATCATGGACCCTGCATGGGAATTGCCTGAAGGCGTGCCCATTGAAGGCATAATATTTGGAGGCCGCAGACCTGCTGGTAAGCGATGCAGCAGCCATGTATCAAGGCTGAAGTGCTGATCACAGAAGGGTTGAAACACAACTGGACATGAACTCAGGTTTTGCTTTCACAGCTGCAAAAGCAAGAAAATAACCATATTAGTCTAACTTCTCCATGTTAGCCTTTGACACACACACTTACAGCCACTGATACTTCAACACCTGAATTGTGAGATGTTAATACAAAACAGGTAATAATAATAAAGGGCTGGAGAGAGATCAGGACCCACTAACCAGGGTAATACATAGACACAGAGCAAATTGCTATACCCGTCTCAATTTGTTTGCAGTTTAATTAGTTCAGATAGGAAATGGTTAGAGAAATGAACCAGTTTCCAGAAAAGGAGGTAAAATAAATTGATCTGTTAAAGGTCGCCTGAAGTTGGAAAAGAAATAGAAGTAATGCTAGGTCTGAGTCTAATATCACAACCACAGGACCAGACTATTTCCAGTAAAATCTGCTGGGGATTCTGAGGTCCCAGATATCTCCCTCTGAGCCACTAAACCTGGATGTGTTCAGTAATCAGTAGCCAGTTTTGAAAATGTTCATATAAACTTATTTGCTGTAAGAGGACAGGAAATGAACGGGTTAAAAAAACAGGAAAAAATAGCATACATTATACAGTAACATGCATTCAGCAGTATCTCAGGTAGCAAAGCCTGTTATAAAAATGTTTCTGGATCTCTAATTACAGAATGATTTTGTTCTTTACAGGAGTGCCTCTTGTATATGAGGCCTTTAACTGGCAGCATGGCGTATTTATAGGAGCAGCTATGAGATCTGAAGCAACAGCAGCTGCTGAGCACAAAGGTAAATAAAAAATTTAATCTGCCCACCCGTATTAAAATCAATCCTCCCTGGACTGCCTGCTCTTTCCTCCTCCCCTGGTCTTCTGCATTTCAGTCTTGGCAGCTAATTTTGCAACCTGGGTATTTTCACAAAAATATTTGTAATGGAATTAAAAGTCAAATTCTCTGTAAAAGTCACATTAGGCAAAATAATCCCCTAGGTGGCAAGCATACAGAACAGGGTGCAGGCATGGGGTTGCCAGAAGCCTTGATACAGAGTTCTTGTTACAATCTGGGATAAATAAACTTAAGTTTTCTCTTCTGTTAGAGCTCAACATAAATACATGAACGATGAAAGCCAGCTCTTGAGGATCTTCATTTAGGCTGCTTGACGTGAGATTTAAGAAATTAATTTCCACTGATTACAAAAATTAATTAAATTTGTACTTTTTTGTACATCAAGGATAATGCTTGTATTGTTTCTTAAAGCTCTTTTGTTCAGATGCAGATAGGTAGTTAAGGGACCACGGGTATTAAATCCTGGGAGGATCTGAATCTTGGTACTTTAGAATAAATGTGCTATTTATTACCTTACATTCTCCATTTGTGTTTTGAACAGGCAAAATCATTATGCATGATCCATTTGCCATGAGACCTTTCTTTGGCTACAACTTTGGCAAATACTTGGCCCACTGGCTCAGCATGGCACATCGCCCAGCTGCAAAACTACCAAGGATCTTTCATGTTAATTGGTTCCGGAAAAACAGTCAAGGGAAATTCCTGTGGCCTGGCTATGGAGAGAATTCCCGTGTGCTGGAGTGGATGTTCAACAGAATTGAAGGGAAGGCCTCTGCCAAGCCAACTGCCATAGGTTACATCCCTGTTGACACTGCTTTGAACCTGAAGGGTTTAGATGTCAACTTGACCGAACTGTTTGATATCTCCAAAGAGTTCTGGGAAAAGGAGGTAGAAGAAATCAAACAGTACTTCGAAATGCAAGTTAATGCTGACCTTCCCTATGAAATAGAAAGAGAAATGCTTGCCTTAGAGATGAGAATAAAACAGTTGTAGCTGATCAAAGCCACAGTTATTTATCAATCCACTCATACTAAGACAGGATAAACACATTTTACCAAATCATCATTGGAAGCATAACAGCACACTGATGGGCAGGGAGTTATAATGAAAAGTAGGTCTTTGTTTAGTTAGAATATCGGTAGAGGCATTCTAGAAGTAACTCCAGACCTAATAATTTATAACTACATCCGTTGTTGTGAATAGGTGAGTAGCTGAGGGAATGTACGTGCACATGGTCTTCAAAACCCTGATCTGTCACTTACACACAGATATAGCCATGACGTGTGTAAATTACTTGCCGAGTTCTGCATATACAGTCCAAACCAATCTAGCCTTCAAGGTGTAGCACATTGTTTCTATCACACAAACCACTGGTGTCTCAGACTCTACAGGAAAGAATAAAGAAACTTAGATGCTGTATATATGTATTACCTAAACATATGTTTTAGAAAAATTAAGTTGTAACATTTATCAGAGTGAAAGATGACTTTGTATTACTAATGTGTATTTAAGATATTGCTATTATATATGCCTCATGTTCCTATGATTTCCACACGTTTTGAATGCTTGTTCTTTATTGTTGAAATAAATGTTTATACAAAAATATGATGGCTTCCAGTATTCTCACTGTTTATGAACTACATGCATATAAATTGGGCCTCTTGTCAATACCACAGCATAGAGAGAAATTCGCATGTGAAAGTTAGATGTTGACTAGCATTGATCTGCCACTCCTAAGCCAACTACTTTAAGCCACATACTGTCTTTGCAACTTTTATTCAAGCCGAAGGAAAGATCCAGAAATGATGATTCCAGCTGTGAGCGGTCATCCAGTTAGTGATGTGCTCTCCATAACTGGGCATTTTTAGATAGTTCAGGTGTTTATAACATAAACTACCCTCTAGGAAAGCCCCATATTAGGACCTTGCTTATTTGCTAAAGTGATAGGATTTGTCTCTGTTCCGCAGTACCTAGGCTTTTGCAAGAACAACTAGTGGAGCTGTTGAAGTACAGAGAGTTTGGGAAGAGTTTTCCGGATGTGCTGAGATGTGTAAAGCCTTAGAGCTTTATGAAAATAGGGATAGGAGCCTGTGTTGCCTTCCTCGCAGATCCAAGATTCTAAAACCATTCCATGTTCTCCCAATTAAAGGTGCCCTTTACATTCTTCCCACGTCCCTGGCAGATATCCTGCTTTTTCACCTTGAATGCTTGGTCTCCCAAAATATATTGCAAATATTTGCTTAGCAAAAAGAAAATCACTTACATCATTGTGTAATAAGCCTTTTTATAGACCCCGCTTCCTTGCAAAGCAAACAGTACCTGGGCTGGTCAACAGATGCCCTTCGAAGTTTGCTAGGAGAGGTCACATAGCCTGAAAAGCCTCTACCTACCTCCTGACTGCACGTTTAGGGCTTAACACAAACATCATCAATTCTGAAGTGAATAATACAGCCTAAGTCAATAGATAGATCACACACACAAAAAGACAATAGAAAGCTGTGATGAAAGCAGAGGAGACCAGTGCAGCCTCTGCAGAGATGATCATCGGTTGACCCTGTTGCTGATCAAAAACCACATCTGCATGGATGCAGGTCTCCTATAGGGTCATCTTTAGCCTGTGTACTTTTGAGTGGGCTTCAAATTAAAAGAAAAATCAAGGTGGAAGACAGTAAATAAGTCAGAGGAAGTGAGCCAAGAGAGATTAGTGTATGCACTCCTAGATTCAAGGACTACTATCACATGCATAAAATAAAGTTGTTTATAAAGTAATTCTGTAAATAGTTGATGAAAGGCTTGGGCCATTCACAAACTGTTATGACAGTATTGGACCTAGTATTTGGATAAATCTAAGGAAGAACACAGAGATCTAAGAAAATCTGTCTCGCTGTTATCAGAGACGTATGGCCAGTTACAGTCTCAGTTTCCTACAGGCCTCATGAGAGGATTCCAGTCCTGAGTAGAGCAAAGATGTTCCAAGCATATTTTGAAATGCTGCCCAGGAGATGTACGGAAGCTCGGGGCTTTCCAGAATGCTCTGAGCAGCTCCAGTGTGCTATTCTGCTTTCTCAAAAGCAACCAGGCTTGATATTCTGAATATTGCAAATGAAAAGACTCATACTTCATGCTAGAGAAATCTATGCCTGCCATGGTTTAACCCCAGCTGGCAACTAAGCACCATGCAGCTGCTCGCTGACTCCCCCCCGCAGCAGGATGGGGAGAGAATCAGAAGAGCAAAAGTGAGAAAATTCGTGGATTGAGATAAAGACGGTTTAACAAGTAAAGCAAAAGCCACCCATGCAAGCAAAGGAAAATAAGGAATTCATTCACTCCTTCCTGTGGGCAGGCAGGTGTTCAGCCATCCCCATGAAAGCAGGGCTCCATCACATCTAACGGTGACTTGGGAAGACACCACCATCACTCCGAACATCCCCCTTCTGTCTTCTTCCCCCAACTTTATATGCTGAGTATGATGTCACATGGTCTGGCATATCCCTTGGGTCAGTTGTCCTGGCTGTGTCCCCTGCCAGCTTTCTGGGTGCCCCCCGCCTGCTCCCTGGTGGGATGGGGTGAGGAGAAAAGGCCTTGGATCTGTGTAAGCACTGTTCAGCAATAACAAAAACATCTCTTTATTATCAATACTGCAGCACAAATCCAAAACATAGTCCCCTACCAGCTACTATGAAGAAAATTACCTCTATCCCAGCCAAAGCCAGCACAGCGCCAAAGGCGCAAGCCTGGCAGGCATATGGTCATGGGAGAACCGAGTGACACTTGCCCCATAAAATGCTGCTTAATGAGGAGATAGGTCCCAGTGTTGTGGGACAACACAACTGTGATCTTGTAGCACACACCCAACTAGCAAGATTGGTATTATAAGGTGCTAACTGCCTTGAGAACATCATACTCCTGTCCAAACCACTGCATTTCATATTCTGACTAAAGCCTTGCATTCTTCTCCTTACCCCAAGAGGTTGGCAGACTTTCCTTCCCTTGACCGCCGCTGCCTTTGGGGTTCTCCTCTGGGTATTGTTTCCATATAACATAACACAGCTCACAGAAAGTGGCTATCACGAGCACTTCTGGCAAAAATATTTAAATCATTTGCGGTTCTCTCACTCCACACATTTTAACCACATGCACCTTTTCAAACACTGCTCAGAGACTGACAGGCATGCAAATAATTCCAGAAACTACAGAAAATGGGAGGAAAAAAGTGCTGTACTGTTAAGGCTGAGAACAAGAAAATAACTTTTTGCATGAGTCATTCAACAGCACCTTTTTATGTAAATATATCCGCAACCCCTCAGCATCTATGGGGAGTACAATTTACATTTTGAATGATCAAAATGTTTAGTATTGGCAGAGAAAATGTTTAAAAAGAGAGAAGGCGGCGGTTTAAAATTTAGAAACTTAGTCAACCGTGCCAGATTATGATCTCAACTTCTCTTCCTCCAACAAATACTATGCTCCGTAAAAACAAAATGAATTAGAACAAAATGCTTTTAAATTAAAATTTGGAAATTCCCCCAATATTCAAAAGAAAGAGGGGAAGGCAACAATTGCAATAAATTTCAACAAATTAGTAGAGAAATATAAAACTTGGCCTATTAAATGTGATTCAGAGAAGGGAAGCGCAGGAAAGACTAACACATGATGTGTACGGAGCCATAACATTTGCAACAGCTGTGTTATGAAATGCACTTGGTATTCTGGGAAGCAAGAAAAAAAATACTTTGTTAAAACACTTGTGGATGTACCGGTGGCTGAAAAGAAGAGAGACAAAATAAAAATCACAGTTTAACCATTAACTCTGTTGTGATACGATCTCTGGTACTTTGTTTACACCATGATTCACTGAACAACACAGCACAGTGATGGATGCATCACATCCGGTGGAAGCTGTGCTTGACTCCCTTAAAATTAGTGCAGTCCCTCTAAATGACCTTTATCTACTCGGGAAAAAAATCCGGCCTTGGTGCCAAGTACTCCTATTAGCACAGATAAAACCATAGAGCTCAGACCCCAGACCTTGGTCCAATCTTTGCACAGGTTGAGAAGTCTCCAAGCCTGATACCATCCTTTGGACTAAATTCTAATGTTTCAAGGTCAAATTTTGACTGTGCTTTGTCTTGTTCCTTCAAATCCCTTTCTCAGATGTCAGTCTCAGTAGTAATTAGTTTGAGTATGTAAGATATCCACACTCCTGTATTCTGTCAACATGATGAAGGTTAAACCAGATAAATAAATAAAACTGAAAAACAACATCCAGCTTGCTGCAGAACTCTTATTGGAAAAAAGTGAAACCCAACTTCA